ATTATATTATATTATACTTAAATATTTAATAATAAATTATTTTAATAATTTATTATTTCATAAATAAACATTTAAAAAATTTTAAAAAAAATCTGATTTTAAAAATTTCAAACTTGTTTTCTTATTTTTGAAATATGTTAAACTTATTCTCTTGAATATGTAATCTTCCCATTTTCTTTTGCACGAGCTGGGCCTAGCCTATCCAATCTGATCCAATCCATGCCATTCGGCCCATTAACAATCCTGCCTATCTCCCTTAGTGGACCCAACCTCGTTTACCCCCACCAACTCAGGACATCATCAATGGAAGTGGGGCGGAGGGACGGGGGGAAGAAATGTCCAGGCCCAATTTGTTTTTAAAGGCAATTTTTTTTTTTGGTTTTTTATGAAAATCCTTTTTTTCTTATGGATTTTTTTCTCTCCTTCTGGCTCGTCCCTCAACTCCACCACCATCGGTGAATATGAAACTAAATTTTTAGGTTTTAGAATTCGATACCGGTAGTCTGGATTCGCCATTCCCCAAACTCTCCCTACCAAATCTAAATCAGCGTCACGTTCTGCAAAAAAAAAATCCAGACATATTGATGGTTGAAAAACCAGCTAAATTCACCAACGGCAATTATTCTTTATTCCTCCGATTTGTGCAGACAAATACTACACAATGCAGGAGTAACTGGACGGTTTCTAGTACAGGGGAATGACCAGAATTGGTCCTATTTCTATGCTTTTTTTTTTATTGTATTGAAATGCATTTTTGGTGCATTTGCAAGTTGGAATCCGGGTTTTTGACGGAGGGATAAGTATGTTAAGCAGGAGAGCATGTAGCGGATGGAAACGATTCGTTTTATGCCTGCCTGTCATCTTCTTTTTTGTTCATATGCTCCCAGGTAATATGATTTCCAGGGCAATTTTAGTAGGATTTAGATATGGAGAATTGCATCGTGTAATTATCAATCACCATTCTATGTTAATTCACACAAAAGTTGACTCAGAAATTAATAAAGATGGTGCAATGTCAAAATCTCTTAATAGTTGCCCTCGGTAGTATTAGCATTTGCCTTATATATCTTTGTTAATCTTTTGATGATGATAAAACTCCTGAAATGATTTGTTTGCTCCATGAAATTTTTGGAATTGCAGCAACAGTGTGTACAATATCAACACAAAGAGAAGCGAAGAAATTTGATCATCTAGTTCTTGGACCGGCTTCTGGTGAAGGCCTGCCTGATCATCTACAATGTCAAGGTTTTCTATGTCTACTTTCCTCTTGGATAATGCTTTAGATTTTCTATGTTTTGCACGGGAATGTGTGGATATTATCGTTGACAGCAAGTTTATCTGTATGTATGTGCACTGCAGGAACCAAGGCTCTTAATAAGACATCTATTAGAACATTCTCTAATGATTCTCATTCTGAAGATCTTGTCGTGTTTGTCACTGTGTTTGCGACCTACAATTCTACGGTTGATTGGAGAGTCAATGGCAGACCAGTTGATTTGGTCACTATAGGGGACACTTCATACAACAAAGTCGAGAGGTCAATGGCTATTCTGAATGTATTTACAAATTTTATCCAGGTATATCCAAGTAATATGTTTGCAGAACTAGAGTTTAAGGTTAAATTATCTAGAACATGTGCAATGATTCAGCTTAAATGTTGATTGCTATAGTATATACAGACATGAATGTACAGGCATGCTATGTGTTGACAATAATAATACAAAGAATTTCTTATAATTTGCCTTCTCTACTGGTTCAGTTAGGCAATGGAGTTTTATGTTTAGGATCTAAGACATTAAATCTTTGTAAGCATGAAGAAACTTGCCTATGCATAATTACAGGGTTGATCCCTACTCTGAATTCTGAATTTTATACATTTGGAGCAAAATCTAACTCCAAATTTTACAGTTAATGCATATCTGGTCTTGACAAATACTGAAATACAGTCTGGATTCATACAGGCGGCAAGAACTGATATATCTCTTTCCCTTCACCCTCACCCTCGTCCCCTGTTTGAGCTGGAAAATTTGGAAACACCTTATGAAGAAAATTATTAAGCCCATGTTTGACACACATTAAAATTTTCATTCTCATTCTTCTACTCATTTTCAACCACACAATCTTCAATAAAATAATATTTTCCACCACATTCTCCATCAATCTACTATTCCAAAATATATTCTTCCAAAATAATGTGGCTCAAACACACCCTAAGCCAATTTATCAATAACAATTAATTTTTTATTCGAGGTAAAATAATTGGTTTCTAAATAATTATATTGCTTTTAGGTTAGGTTTTGAGAAAAGTTGATCTTGTTCTGTTTTGAGCTGACTTGCATAGTTAGATAACTTGCTTATCTAGCACAACCTCTTCAATGCACTAAAATGACATACTTTGTTCATGATGTAAATGGTAACATGTACAAAAAAAATACTATGATTTGTTTGGTTTACCATTTTTGTACTATATACATCATTGATTGATAATTTTTGACTCTGTAACATCACTAGCTCTGTTGCAAAAGAAATCATAGATAGCAACCTAAATTTACTTGAAAACCATATTTTCGCAAGAAATGTTATTCTTGCTTCTGAAATTTAGTTAATTGCTATGTACAACTAATTTATAAATAATTCTATTCAAATTAGGATCTCTAATTATATGCCAAATGAATATATGCAGGTTACCATGCCGCAGAGCGACATTATCATAATTACGGATCCAGCCTCTGAGCTTCCAGTGCACAGAAATAAGGTTACCATATATCCAATACAAGGTGAATATTCGAGGGACAAGTTGATGCTCCAAAGAATCAGGTCTTACATCGTAAGTGCGCATTGCACTGTTGGAAAGTAACGCATCCTTTTTTATCATTTGCTGTTCTCTCTGATCTTCGCTGCAGATTATGTTTTAGCCCCTGTTTGGACTCCATTTCATGGGAGCCACAACTTTTATCAACTTTTTAAACACACATTTCTTCAACTTTTATTAAAATCTAATAATAATCTGAAACTTAGTTAAACCAAACAGGGGCTAAAATTTAAGTTGACTTTACTACACATTTGTGGTACTTTAACATGAGAACTCTAGCTCTAGAGCTTAACCTTGTAATCTAGCTCTCACTTTTGTACTGCCAAGTGTTAACATTTTAGTCGAGGTGCGCGCAAGATGGCCCGGACATCCACGGTTATCAAAAAAAAAAAATTGTTAACATTTTAGTTCTGTGTTGGGTCCATTTTTATAGAAAAACTGATGGCAGAAATTACTTCATCTAAAGCTTGATCTGCAGACACAGAAAGACTGTACTCTTACTTCCACTTAAGAGTATTATCACTTTGGTTTTACAATTGATTCATTGTTTCTGCAGGCCTTTCTAGAGATAAGGCTCAAGGAGCAATATCAGAGGCAGAGATAAGGCTCAAGGAGCAATATCAGAGGCAGGGGCAAGTCCGCCATTACATTTTTACGGACTCGGATATTGCAGTAGTAAATGACCTGGGACAAATATTTGATCACTGTCCTAATTTCGATATGGCTATCACCTTCCGAAACAACAAAGAGCAACCTCTGAATTCAGGGTTTATAGCAGTGAGGGGCACTGCCAAAGGAATTCTAAGGTGCATTATTTTTCTGGTTATATTTTTCAATTTTCTGTGATTTAATCTTGGGGCACGAAAGATAGAAAGAAGGTTTTTGCATTCAGGTCTAAGATACACTGGACAAGCATCCATGAAATGCCTAGGGGGTAAAAAAATAGGCAGAAATTGTGCCATTTTGGAGGCATCCTCTCTTTCTTTTCATTTTTTTTTTTTGGGTCAATACTTGAATGTACGCCTAGGATTAGGTGCTTGGAAATATATAAATAATTGCTTGCATTTTTTAGGCTTTGGCTGATCTATCATGCTACAACTATCATAATTTATATAAGGGCAATGCTACATGTACATAAATTTTTTTATCTAATCTTTTACCTACACTCACAATAGGGTGTGAGGACCACATTTTTTGGAGTTTTTTATTCAAGCGGGCCCCGCGCACATGTGAGAGGGTGTAACATTTTCAGTAAGGAAAATTATGTATAAATAGTTTTATTCTTTATAAAAATTGATTTTATCTTTTCTTGGAATCATTTGTTACAATTTGACTTGCACATCTTTTTCTTTCTTTCTTTTTTTTTTTTTGCTTTTTTTCTCCCTTTCATTTCTCTTCATGAAACCATGTACTTCTTGTGCGCAGGGCGAAGGTTTTGTTACAGGAAGTACTGAAAGTTTATAGTTCCAAATTCATGAAAGCGTCTCGAATGCTTGGAGATCAATTAGCTCTTTTCTGGGTTGTAAAATCTCAACCTTCCTTTGATGTAAGAAGGTTCACTAGAAGAGAGGCTTTCATAGATGAAATTGGTGGTGCCTCGGTGCTTTTCTTACCATTTTCTAGTTACAATTGGACACCACCAGAGGGCGCAGGTCAATTTCATGGGATGCCCCTGGATGTAAAGGTAAGAAGTGCATTTGGTTATTACGTATAATCTTAACGAATGGCCAAGGTTTTAGGACAAGTTTTCAGTATTTCTTGGATGAGATTTTTGTTTCTGAGACAATTGAGTTGCTACTTCATCCCCCAACCTATATTTGTTTGAAACATCCTCCCAACTTATCATTTTTGTAGCATCAT